AGTCTACACGGATGCAAATAATGATTGAATAAATAAATAAGTGGGGGAGGGGAGAAACAAATCTCGCAAACAGAAAAATTCCAAACAATCTAAGTAGCTACTCCTCCCCCCCCCCGAAGGAGGTGGAGCATAATCCGCACCCCTTGACTGTGGGCTGTGCACAGTGACTTCTTTCCACAGAGCACAGTAAGGAGCGGGGAGAGAGTAACTTTACAGAGCAGAAACCTGACAGTCACTACCTCAGCCAGGCAACCATGGTCAACATCATCAGTGGTAAGTCATGATAACATGAACTCTTGATATGTTTAATTAATAATAAAGTGATTAAAATGGTACTTTACTTCCGGGGTCTTCCTCCCAAAAACACATAACCCCGGTCTAACTATGAGAAACGCACCAGACAAACCTCCAATTGAGGGACATTCTCCAAAATACCTGACCAGTACTCCTCAAAACTGTCAAGGCCATGAAAAAAAGGAAAATCCGAGAAAGTGTCACAGCCCAGAGGAGCCAAAGGAGACACGGCAACTAAACGTAATGGGGGTCCTGGAACAGAAAAAAGGACACTAGGCAAAAAGTAATGAAATCTGAATCAAGTGTGGCCTTTAATAATATATCAGCACTGGTTCCTCAGTTGTGACAAAGGTACTGTAGTTGTGTAAGATGTTAACAACAGAGGAAACTGGATGTGGGGAACATGGGAACTCTCTGTACTACCTTCACAACTTTTCTATAAATATAAACCTATTCTAAAATTAAAAATTTACATAAAAATACATTATTATGCTGAAAGACCTTCTCTTCTGGAGTACAGATTGGGAGGAATGTAAGAGGTAAAGGGCAGAGAACCCGGTCCTGCTTCAGTCTTTACTGTAATTAGGACAGAGAACTTGGGGTTAAGATCCTTCTGCTTCGAAATCTTAAAGTGAAAATACAATTTCTAGCAGGGCTCTTACAAAATTCCACAAAATGTACCCATGTTGTATCTTATTTGTGTTTTAGTGGTGATTCGTACTAAATTTTCCCTCTTCCCATCACCTATCCATTATGCTGAATAACTAAAAGAGTATGAATCTTTATAGGGAAAATGTTTTTATTATTCCTTAGTCAATTGTTGGGCTCTTTGATACATGTATTAGAACCACTGAGTTAAGTCCTGGAAAGTTTTAGCACTATTATTTTTATTGTTGTGATTATTATTATTGATTTGGGACTGTGGAGGAGCCAGTCTCAGAATCGGAAATTCAGAAGTTTATATGTCGGTATGTCACAAGGAGTGAAGATCATAAAAGACAAAATTGATGGATTTAACTACACAAAAATGGAAGCATCTGCATATTGCTGGAAAAATACAATAAACAAAATTAAAAGACAAACTGAGAAAAAACTATGAGAATAATGGACAAAAAGTTAAAGAAATTGGGGCCGGCCCAGTGGCATAGCAGTTAAGTTCCTGTGTTCTGCTTCCGTGGCCCGGGGTTTGCAGGTTTGGATCCCGGGCACGGACCTACGCATCGCTTATCAAACTATGCTGTGGCAGGCGTCCCACATATATGGTAGAGGAAGATGGGCAGGGATGTTAGCTCAGGGCTAATCTTCCTCACCAAAAAAAAAAAAGTTAAAGAAATGAATATATATGGAGATGCCTCCCCCTCAAGAATAATCAAGCAAAGGCCATGATATGACAATTTGCAAAGAAAGAAATATAAGTTGATGACCAATATGCCAAAAAAGTCAACTTAATAAGGAAATGCAAATTAAAATACTAATGACATAACTTTTTTTGTCCATCAAATTGCACTTTCATACCTTGCTGATAGTTACAAATTGGAACAAAAAAAATCTTTAAAATGTCTACCAGTTGATCTAGGGATTCCATTTCTAGACTCTTATTCTAAGAAAATAAAGAATATGTGAAACGATTTATCCATAAATGTTTACTACTACATTGTTTATAATAGCAAATAATCAAAACAACCTTTATGTCCATCAATAGAAAATTATTTAAATAAATTGTAGTTCGAACATTCAAAAGAACATTAATCAGTCATTAAAAATGATTTTATAAGTCAGAGATTGGCCAACTATGGCCCACTGGCTGGCTGCCTCCTTTTGTACATAAAGTTTTATTAGGACACAGCCACCACGCCCATTTGTATGGCTGCTATATTAGTTTGCTAGGGCTGTCATAACAAAGTACCACAGACTGGGTGGCTTAAGCAACAGAAATGTATTGTCTCACAGTTCTGGAGGTTAAAAGTCCAAAATCAAGGTGTGGGCAGGGTTGGTTCCTTCTGAGGATTGTGAGGGAAGGATCTGTTCCAGGCCTCTCTCCTTGGCTTGTAGATGGCTGTCTTCTCCCCGTGTCTTCACATCATCTTCCCTCTACATGTATCTGTGTCCACAGTCCCTTTTTTATAATGATGCCAGTCACGTTGGATCAGGGGCCCACCCTGCTCCAATATGACCTCATCTTATCTAATTACATCTGCAATGACCCTATTTCCAAAAAAAAGGTCACATTCTGAGGTCCTGGGGTTAAGACTGCAGCATATGAATTTTGGAAGGACACAGTACAACCCACAACAGCTGCTTGCACACTTCAACAGCAGAGTTGAGTGGTTGTGACAAGACCATGTGGTCTGCAAAGTCTGAGATAGTCACACTCTAGCGTTTACAGAAAAAGGAAAACAAAAGCTGACCCCTGCTACAGGTGAACATGTCTTGACATGGAAATTCTTCAGAATATGTTCTTAAGTGAAAAGGATTACAATACAGTGTCTTTTGGAAAATTATCTCATTTGAGACTATCTACATATGAATAGAAAAAAACACAAAGAATATACATCACAATATTAATAGTGGTGATACCCGAAGATTGGCACTATGGGTAATTTTTATTTTCTTTTTACTTATCTATGTTTCCTAATTTTTCTATTGCGAATATGTATTATTTCTGCAATTATAAAACCAAAAAATTATACCAGCATAATGTATCAAAAACTAGACGGTCATGTTGTCATTGTGTGTGGCAGAAATGAATTTCCACTCAGCATTTATTCTGCTAGCGTGGCTCCCTGCACTGCTGAGCCTGGAAAACTCAAAACCACATTTCCTTTCCTTTGCAGCTGAGGTTCTCGATGCCAATTAGATTCTACCAGCAGGTGAACCTGCATGAGCAAGAGACCATCATCTCGCATCTTCAGCCCTTTCTGTGGGGCCGAGTGGTGGGGACCCTGGAGCAGACTCCAGCATTCAGCTCTAGCTCTGACCTAAAAGGGAGTTGTGGCAGTGGCTGACTCCCCCTGGACTGCAGCCATAGCAGAAAGTTCTTGAAGCCAATAGTTCTAGCAGCGACTTTCTAATTCCCCACCTTCCTCAGATCATGGAGGTGGCAGCCCCCCTGGCAGGCCAGGTCGGCAGCCTTGTTCATTTTTCTAGGAATAATTCCTGGACACCCAGCCCAAAGGCAGCCTGTCCAGCTATTTTATACTTAAATTTTCCTACGCCTAAAATAGCTGATTGTTTCCCTGACAGAACCATGACTGACATAAAGGGTTCAGGAGCAATTTGGGGACAAGCTTGTGCTGAAGGAAAAAACACATTTTATGACAAGTTGAATGAAAATTATTGAGAGGTATCAATATTTCAAGGTGCTTGGAATCCATCTGAATTGCAGGATGAAGAGCAAAAATAATTGGAACAACTCTGCCAAGCCTAAAACATAACTCCGGTCTCCAGGTATAAAGGGAACAGGGTCACAGGTCTCCTCGCATTCACTAAGATGTGCAGCTGTGATGTGGCTTTAAAATTGTCCTCCAGTGGATCTACTCTTCCCCAAGAGCCTGATCTCAGAGAGATTTGGTGAGGATCAGGGACATGAAATTAAATCTGCCTCTTGGTGGAATTTCAGCCTAAAGAACAGCCTTTCATTCTGGTAGCAGCTCAGTCTTTCTGATTTCTCCCGTTTCTCCACAAGGGATGGGTGCACGGGGCTATGTGGACTCCTTGTGGCTGGGCCTCTGCCTCTTGCTGGTTTCCCATATGAAGTGGCTAGTGTGGCTGTCCCTAGACTGAGGACTACTGCGGACTGCTGATCCCACCTAGGAGCTGGGACACTGTACTGTACCCACTGCGAGCCTGTGCCTCTGGTCACAAATTCCCCTACACTGTGGCTTCTTTGTTCTTCCTTGAGAGCTCTACTGGTTCACTGGTCTTCTCAAAACACTCACAGCCCCACCCTGGGGTGTGCAGGACTTCTGGATCTCTGATGTGCACATGGCAGGCTGTTGGGCTGGGAGCCCGCTGCAGGCCCAAGAATCCGGTCACATCCTCTGCCAGTGGCCCATTCGGCTATCTTGATGTGGAGGCCATGTGTATGTGGGTGCTTCCTGGCCTTCAAGATGGAGCATGAGTCAAATATTCCTCTGCTTTCAGCTTTCTTCTGAACACAGCTAACCTGTATCCATGTTAAGGTCTCAACCTGGAGAGGGGAGACCAGGACGCAAGTGTCTGTTCTCTTGGTTTCCCATCTACCAGAATGGAAGGGGTGGTAGTATCACTTCTTCCTCTCAGTTAGGGAATTCCTCTGTGTCACAATCTACTCCTGTCTAGAAAGCTCAAGCAGGATATCTGACAGTTGGGCAGGACTTTGCAGAGGAGGAGGAGACACCGAGTGGATGGTTATGGTGGGTGAGTCATAAAGAGAAAACAGGAGCTGGAGAATCCTAGAGGGAGACTGTAGGAAAGTTGGTTTCAAGTTACCCATCCTGGACAGGGCATTTGGCAAAACAGTACAGCACAGTGTACTTTTCAGAGCGTGGACTTGGAATCTGTCCCACATACTAGCTTTGTGACCTTGAGCGAGTTACATAACTTCTCTAAGGCTCAATTTTCTCATTTGCAAAGTGGGGATCATAATGGTACTTACCTCAGTGGTTTGTTGAGTTGTAGGAAATAATGCCTGTGAAGGCATATCAGGCACTGGGCACAGCCTCACACACAGTGGGGCCACCGTGACCGAGGTTGTCATGAAACTTTCAAATGTTACTGTTGTGAGTAGAGAGGGAAAGCCAGCTGTAAGTACTACCTGAATATAAGTTGTTACTCATTTTACAATGCTAGGTTGGATAGCTTGGAAAAAGTTGGAGGATACGGCCTTGTCTTCACCATGAGGCGTCTGTGAAGTAGCAGTGGATATAGACAAGGAACCAGAAATGGAAAGAGATAAAGCTGGAGCCCCAGAAGAACCGGAAGTGAGGCCAGACAAACAAGAAGGAACAAATGAAGGTGATGCTAATGGTAAGGGGGAGCGGAGAGGGTCACCTTGGGGACCCATGTGCTTAGGGAGCAAGCAGCAGTGTCGAACTAAGCAGAGAAAGTTGTAGTTAAAAAAAAAACCTCCGTAAAGGATACACATAATCACACACTGCTCAGTCTTCTGTTGAATGTGATTATTCAGATTAGCACATCATTCATAAGACTACATTCTTGAGCTCTAAGAATGACACCTGTCTTCCTTGGAGTGTATGATCAGAATTTTTTTTGTTTTTTCTTTTGCAATTTTATTTATTTACTTTTTTGTTCAGAAAGTCCATTATTAGAGGTTCTGTCCAGCCACGTGACTCTCCTCATCCCAGAGTTCTTGGACTCAGCGCACACTCAGGAGAAGGCCTTTGTCCATGAGGTCAGCAACATACAACACACACCTGCAGAGGAGTCCGAAGTCCCACAGCCCCCAGACACGTTCCCACCTGAGCAGAGCGGTGACATCTCCAATTCTTCAGCAAAAACCATGCAGCCCAAGGAAGGTGACACCCTCAGTTCGTCAGCAAAAAGCATTCCACCCAAGCAGGGTGACACCCACAATTCTCAAGCAAATACCATCCCGCCCAAGGGGGCTGACACCCCCAATTCATCAGCAAAAACCATCCCACTCAAGCAGGCTGACACCCCCAATTCCCTAGCAAAAACCAAGCCAGGTGACACCCTCAACTCCCCAGCAAAATCTATTCTGCGAAAGCAGAGCAACACTCTCAAGCTCTCAGCAAAAACCATTCTGCCTAAGCAGGGTGACACTCCCAAGTCCTCAGAAGGAACCATCCAGGCCAAGGATGGTGACACCCACAAGTCTGCAAAAGAAACCATCCAACCCAGGGAGGGTGATACCCCCAAGTCCTCGGAAGGAACCATCCAGCCAAGGGAGGGTGACACCCCCAAGTCCTTGGAAGGAACCACCCAGCCCAGGGAGGGTGACATCCCCAAGTCTTTGGAAGGAACCACCCAGCCCAGGGAGGGTGATACCCCCAAGTCCTCGGACAGAACCACCCAGCCCAGGGAGGGTGATACCCCCAAGTCCTTGGAAGGAACCGCCCAGCCCAAGGAGGGTGACACTCCCAAGTCCTCGGAAGGAACCGCCCAGCCCAAGGAGGGCGATACCCCCAAGTCCTTGGAAGGAACCATCCAGCCAGTAGAAGGCGACATCCTGAAGCCAGCAGAAGAAACAGCAGAGCTCCTGGAGATTGACATGGTGAAAGTGATCCTGAGCAAGGAGGACTTCTGGATGGCACTCAAGGAGGCCGGGGAGAGGCTGGTGGCCGTGGATTTCTCCGCCAGATGGTGTGGGCCTTGTAGAACCATCAGGCCCCTTTTCCGTTTCCTGTCTGTGAAGCATGATGATGTGGTCTTCCTGGAAGTGGACGCCGATGATTGTGAGGAGCTGGTGAAAGACCTTGAGATCATTTGCATCCCAACCTTTCAGTTTTACAAAAAAGAAGAAAAGGTGGGCGAATTTTGCGGCGCCCTTAAGGAAAAACTTGAAACAATCATTGCAGAATTAAAGTAATCATGTATTCTGAAAGCATTGTGAACAGTCAGCTGTTTATTATAGCTTGTGATTTTTTATTTACAAAAAAAGATGAGGTATAACGAAAAGGTATGTCCAAATGGCACCTGCTTGTAAATTATAAATATTAACTTATTCTTTTCAAAATGTAGTCAAAGCACTAAATCATATTGCCATCGTGTTTTTGTTGATAGGGAAGTGTGATGTTAGAATTTCCTTTGGTGGAGATTGGAAGTCCAGCTGTCCTCTATTTTTCAATCTTGATTTTTTTTCACTCACCCTTGTAAATTCAGCTCATCTAGTTTTAGCAGCAACATTGGAAACTTAGACAATTCTTCTGTAGAATTACGGAAGATTTAATTATTTAATTAATTACGGATGATTTAAAGATGAATGGAAACTTCTTTTCTCATGTTCACACATTTTGGGTTTCTGATAAGATACTTTTGGAAATAAAGAATTGAAAGATTCACATGTCATATGTAACCACCTCCTTGTGCGGGGAGTGCTGTGGCAGACTCGGGGAATTCCATGGGCTCGCCAACCCTCTATGGGTTTTGTTGGTGGCAGAGCTGAGACCAAGGCCATGTTTCCAGATTTCAAGTCCAGGCCTCTTTCTACTAATCCGTACTCACAGAATCTGAGACAGAGCTCAAAACTTCTGGTTACTCAGTCCAAGAGCTTTGTTATTCAGGTTTAAGTCAGTGTGATCCTTGGTGCCATTATGACATCAACTCCCTGGTGGCAAAATTTCTGCTTTGTCCCCCTGGTAACTGGGTTTCTGATACCTGCTCCCAGATGTCTCAGCTCAAAGACCCAGGTCTGGGCTACAGATGGAGGCTTAGTCTAGAGTTCTGGTGGTTTAAAAAAATATATATATATATATATATACACATATATACAAATAACTGCATGTCTTTACTGTATGGAATTTGATGGGTTTGGACATATGCATACACCCATGATGCCATTACCACATCAAGGTAATAAACATACCCATAACCCCTAGAAGTTTCCTTGTGTGTTTCTTTCCTTTTTTTTTATGGTAAGAGAGCTTAACACGAGATCTACACGCCTACCAAATTTTTAAGGGCACAACACCGTATTGTTAACTATAGGCACTGTGTTGTACAGCAGATCTCTAGAACTTTCATCTTGCATAGCTGTCATGTTACACCCACTGAACCACAACTCCCCATTTCTCCCCCGATTCCCTGTCAGCCACCACCCCATCTTCTGTTGGTCCAGAGTGTTTTAAAGAATTTGAACTAGTTGTCAACATTTCAAAAACCAGGATTCCCTTTAAGATCTTGAATTCCAGCTTTTCTTGAAAAATTGTACAATATGGCAATCTGGGCTTGCATTACCTCAAGAAACCAATCTAATCTTAGGGACGAGCGGCAGCTACGTCTGATAGATGGGGCATGCATTCTCCAGTCCTCTGCTGAGGAACCTGGCTGGCTTCTTCATTTATCTAGTTGGGTTGGAATCCCTGTCTTAAGTTAACTGCAGGAGTGGGAATGCTCCAGCAACTTACATCATGTGCCTACCCTGACTCTCCTTAATATCTCAATCATAGACCTCATTTGAGCCATTAAAAACAACCATCTAACAACAGCAAAAACAATACCATACATACTTGGCCTTTTTTCCAAAAAGAATTGGAATGACCTACAAAAAGTATTAATTATAAGGCTAATAAACTAGTAAGAGGAAATTAGGAACATGAAAATAAATAATATCTCAACTCGGAGGGCTCATATCGCTGCTCTGATTGAGTGGCAAATTTTGTTCTAAGCTTCTTAGCAAGGATGAGGTGGGGGGAGAAAAGGGAAATTCAATAATCTTCAGATGTCATTACCCGAAAGGAGCAAGCATCAGAATCTGAAAAAGGAGTCAAAGCCTTCCCATTACTAAATTCCTGAATGAAATTTTTCATCTGGGTCCTTAAGTTTGAGACATTGAACGATGGATGATGTTCTTGACAATATTTTTTTATAATAAATTCAGCAAATTTTCATATGGCTATTCTCTGGTAATAATTTTTTGTAGAAACCAAAGCTGTAATCATAAAGCACTCTTCAATGAGAAGATTCCAGGTTCAAGGTGTACAAATATACAGTTTTTGTATTTCCAGATAAATGGGCTTTTACTACTGATTCATATATCCTATCGGTTCTTTTCTTCTGGTAGAGAGACCTTCCTCTGACTTTTTTCACTCAGATTTGTTCCCATATTGTTTTCCGTATTGAACAAGCCTGGTTTTAATATGACTCTCTCTGTGTAGACATCTAGGCCCAGACTTCAGTCAATTAACCCAACCGCTCTGCTACCAATGCCATGTTTGGACAACTTAGTGAGCCCAACACTTTAGACTGTGTAATTTGGAGGACCAGGGATCCTAAAATCTACCATTAGTGAGTTACACCAACTGCTTCTTCTGGGACTGTAGTATTGAAGACATTTCTCTCATACGTCTTTCTTTATGCTTAGGTTACTAAGTGATGACATGGACACTGACCACAAAAAAAATCTTTAAAAATAATTGTGATAGATTTTTCAGGTGATTTTATACTGCCTAACCTAAGTCAAGGCAGGAAGGATAGCACAAGTCTATGAAGAAAATTCTGCAGGGCCAATACAGTGCGGAGCAAACATGTGGCTCTCTGATGATCTAGTTTGACCCAGGAATAAAATCTAAACGATCAGAGCATCCATTCCTGTCCTTCAAACCACCCACTGTAAGCACCATTTTTCTTGACTGTTTGGATATTGATCAAACAGTAGCCAGGTCAAAGTTATGTTCTCTGGTAGAAAGCTTGAGTATGGACATTCTATTTTGCTAATTGAGAAAGAATCATGAATTTTCTTAAAAAAATGAGCCAAGCAATTGTTACCACCTCTAATATTTAACATGAAGGAGAAATAAAAAGTACTTCTAATGAGAAGGAAGATTCCAGGTGATCATATTGGCTTTGAATGATGATAATCTAACTAGAGCCTTAATAAGAATCAATGGAAAAGCTGTTTGAATTAATAAGAGAACTCAAAAAAGTGGCAATTTTCCAAGTACTATCCAAAAATTAATGGTTTCCTTTTGATTCAATGACAAGTAATTGGGAATCATTATGGGAAAAGGTCTCATTCACAATAGTGACAAAAAATAAAATATCTAGCAACAGTCCTAACAAGAACAGTAAAGATTGTTAAGACTAAAGCTAAAAGTTTTGAGAGGTATACAACAAGTAGGTCTGAATAAAGTGAGACACAGTCCATTTTCCCCATTAGAGAGAGATTGAAAGAAAGATCCTTTCCACCAAACTGGTAGACTTCATATAATCACAACCAACAGCTCAATGAGATCATTGGGAGAACTTGACAAAATACTTAAAAATTCACTGAGAATCATAGCCAAGAATGGGTAGGAAAAAGTCTTAAATGAGAAATAATGAAGAGAAATTTGCCCTATCAGAGAGTAAAATTTATGATTAGCAGAGTAATTGTACAATAAGTGTAGTGACACCAATAGTGGGATGGATGAGGGAACAAAAGAGAGCAATGAAACACAATAGTAACCAAGAATTAGACTTGGGTACTTAAGTAGTAACATGTGGAAAAGGAAACATTTCAATTTGATGGAATGTGAGTGGATTATTTTCAAAAAGTTGTATGGCAAAATTTGGATATTTGGGGGAAAAATTAGTTAACATCCCATTCCCATGCCAGACAGCAAAATAAATAAAAGTTGGGTTAAAGAATAAAAAATAAAATATGGAATCATTAAAAAAATTGAAGAAGATTTAGTTAAACATTTACCTGAGTCATGGATGGAAAGGTGATTTTCTAAATACAAATGCAATTAAAGCAATATATTTGAACATACAAAATATTTAATCTTTCCCATGCCAAAATATAACAAGAAACAAAAAACTGAAAAAATATTTGCCAAATATATGACATGAGATTCAATATATTTACTATAAAAAGTACTCCTACAAATTAGTAAGAAAAATAGAATACCCCAACAGGAAAACAGGTAAAAGTCACAGTCAGTTCATATTAGAGTAAGAACACATGGGTAGTAAACATGCAAAATTTTCACTGACAGAGTGAAACAAAAGTCAGCAAGACTTTGATAGTACGGCCAGCAAGGATGTGGGGCAACCATGCTACTGAGGAGAGAAGATTGCTACAAACCCTTCCGGAACACAGCACCATAACAAAGACACAGACCACATGGTGAGCTGTAGCTTGTGCACTAGTCAGCTCTGCCTGCCCTAAGAAAGGCCCACGGACCCAGGGGCTTTAAACAACAGAAATGCATCTCGCACTGTTCTGGAGGCTGCAAGTGGGAGATCAAGGTATCAGCAGGGCTGGTTTCTCCTGCTGCCTCTCTCTTTGGCTTGCAGATAGTGCCTTCCCACTGTTTTGTGTTCACATAGTCGCCCTTCTGTGTGCACATCCCTGGTGTCTGTGTGTCCAGACTTCCTCTTATTTTACCTTAATCATCTCTTTAAAGACCCTATCTCCAAATACAGTCACATTCTGAGGTACTGCGGGTGGAGTTTCAACACATGAATTTGGTGGAGGGGGAACACAATTTAGCCCATAACAGCTTAAGATAAGGCTCAGGGCTGGGCCTGAAAACTCCTTTGCGGGTGCATCCCAGAGAAAGCATTTCTGAGGCAAGCTCAGGAGCCCCAGTAGCACATTTTGATGTTGCACCTCAGAGAAGCAGGGTATCCTAAGAAACTCTGCCTCGAGGTTCTGTGGAGTCAGCCCTAAAAGTGAAAACGGGGGCTTCTCCAAAGGCCAGGAAGAAGACTGTGCCAGAAGGGTCTGCAGTCTCTCTTGAAGACAGGCCTTGAAGCATAGATCAAGAAATCACAGTGCTGAGGCCTGAGACAGCAGTGAAGCCAATGGCACGTTTCTCCAAATGATTCTTCTGCCTTGAGAGAAGTCTCGGGGGGTGGCGGCCATCTTGCAGCTCTTGTACCTCAGGGCAAACGGCA